CCATACGGACATCTGGTCTCTTCATACGTCCAACATAACGGAGGAGAGGGGATGGAATCCAAAACGTAAGAGCCCATACAAAACCGATCCACACCCGACGACCGAAGGTGATGGATTCATGTTCAATGCTCTTTGGTTCCGCAAATTCAGGGTCAACCTGACCGACATATCGACCAAGGGCCTCATCATAGTAAGTGTCATCATATTTGATATCGTCTCCCTTGGATCCGAGACCATAATCTCCAATGTTTCTGGAGGCTCGGTTCATGGTGGGTGCTACTGATTGGGCAATGCCTGGGCTGGTGGCTACCGTACCAGCAATTGTTCCGGGACCTTGCCTGTTGACAAGTTGCTCATGGCTGCCTTGGATGCTCATGCCATCAGCAGTGAAAAAGCCGCTCTGGTTCATGCCGGGATTCATGCCCTGTGGGCTAGGTGTGTAACCAGGGTCGAAGTTGCTGGTCATTCCTGGGTTGAATGGATTGGAAGCAGCCTGCTGTTGAGGAATAAGGTCAAGCATAGATTCAGCTTCCCACCAGGCACTTTCTCTCATCCAGATACGCTCCTTTCCAACGACGACATCACCGTTGCTCCAGCCTCGCTCGAGGACCCAGTTCTCAACGCCGTCTTTTCCTTCCTGGCAGCCAAGAGGTGCATATCTGACGACAAATTCTTCAACATCAAAATCTGCGGTGAAATCTAGACGCTTGTTTCGGCGGTTTGCCATTTCGGGAAGCCTCCACGCACGAAGCTGGCGGGAGACGGTTCCAGCAGACCAGGCAGAGGTGGCAGATGGGAGTGACGCAAGGGCGGCTGGAAGATCATCTGTCGGGTGGATAGAGAGATGATACCAAACCCTGCTGCTCCCAAGGGTGTTAACTAGATCGAAGCGCTTGGTTTGGCCATATCTGACACCTTGCCCTGGAACAGGGTACAGAAGCTGACGTATGAAACAGCCAGGCTCAACTTCGACTCCAATTTTCTCCAAGACTCCGTCGACCTTGTCATTGAAGTAGTCCCTCTCCCGAGCGGCAGCGTTATCAGTCATTCCCAGGTGTACTCCTACCTCTGCCTTGGCGGCATTCATTTCGCTAAGAACTGAATGGCCTGGGCTGATGACTTCAACACCATCCTCCTTGATCTCAGCATTGATGCCGACGGTGTCATCGAATGCACCTCTCAGGGCAATTGCCTTTCCAAGTGCGGGGTCCGGGATTTCCACGACGGTAAGACCAACTGTATCAGCGGACTCGTCCTGGCGTCCTCCGTCACTAGAGCCGTTTTCATGGACGGAGACGATTTCGTTATGGATGGCCTCGTTTGCCTTGGCTATGATCCAATCGAGCAAGGCATCATAAATGCCGGACATCAAGGCTTCCCGCTCATCTGTGTTGAAATTCTTAAGCAGGATGAGGGGATCAATGTTCAAGAGGCCTCCGACGTCCTCACAAACATCCTCGATCTCCTCCTGGTCAACCAATAAGCCCATTGCATTTCCTAATTTAAGCAAGGCAGCCAAGACAGAGAGGAGATTCCTCTGAGCAGCACCCTTGATTCCAATCGCCTTCAAGCAGTTGCGGAAGTCCTCTGCGGCGGCAGCATCGTCTGCTGTGGGGAGATATGATGGTGGATCGAATGTACCAGACTTTTTAAGCAGAGCAAAAGCAGAAGGGTCCGTGATACCAAGGAACTCTCGTTCAGCTGGGGTAGAAGATGAGGTGATGAGGTAGTAGAAGACATCGAATGCCCGATAGCCAGCTTCAGCAGGGACGTTGAAGAGGCCATGGGAAGTGTTGATTCCGGAATTAGACACTGAGAGCTGTACTTCAGTGACACGACCGGTCAAGGTGAAGGTGTAGGAGACTGCAAAAGCGGAGTACTGAAGGGCTGTGGGGTTGTATGGGGTAACTTGTGAGACGAACGGACGGATGGCAGATATGGCGGTGTACGCAATTTCGGGGGTAGAGAGAGGTAGAGATCCTAACATGGGAAAGAGTAGAGAAGGAGAAGACTGGTGCGAGGTGCTATCATTTCGTCAGCTGCACGTAAACGTAAAAACCGATATCTAGAGAAATATACCATAGAACGATGCATCCATCTTCGGCTCTTCGTCGAGCATGCTCCCACGCCCTCCTGGCCAGGCTCGGGTCCAGCGTCCCGCCAACCTCCCCGTTAGGCCCGGGAGTTGTGGTGGTGAGCCATGTGTTGACGACCAGGCTGGTGCCGGCTTCGAGCTGGTATCCCTGCGCCGAGGCATATGAAGTATGGAGGGCATTCAACAGCGTCGTCGTCGAAACCTGGGTAGTCTGCTGGGCAGTCGATCGAGGGTCCTGCGAGACCGACGAGAGGGCCGAGTAGATGGACATTCGGTTCGCCATGGCTGCAGAACCCGCGGTGGTCGAGTCAATGGATGTTGGTATATCCTAATCGAGACAGCAGCGCCGGTCTCCTGACGCCCCTAGACCTGTGACATCCAAACGAGAGATAGATATATATTTCGGTCGGTACAGCTGTGAAAACGCTCTGCCGGCCTCGGTCTGAGAGCACGAAATGGACGTGTCTACGATATCGATATTCCTTGTGTCTCCTTTCTGGCTGCTGGCGAGTTTCGTCCCGGCAGCGAGCTTGTTGACTATCAATCACCGCGAGCCGGACGAGACAGCCTAAGAAAACGGCAGCAAAGCAAAGAAAACAAACAGCAGCGAGCGAACGACGAAGAAACGACAGCGAGATAGAGCGAGAGCGAGAGAAGAGGAGGAGCTCAAGGTCGAGGAAGGGAGAAAAATCAATGGCCAGCGTGAAGTGAAAGTGAAGAACGACGAAGAAGAAAAGTCGCAGTTGTTGTTTCACCTTCTCTTTTTCCTGGACCGCGGTACGGCTGGCGTACGATACGTAATATTACGTGACGGGACGGGACGGGGCCTCCCCTTCATTACATAACCCTTTTTTTTTTTTTGGCTTTGAGGATTCCATATTTTTTTACTGCTATTTTATTAATCAATATTCTTATTGTGCCAGCGCTGAAGCGACGTGAGGAATCCATGCAGCATGTGAGGATGTGGCGAGTCGTAGTGGTGGTTGCTGATGTTGCTGGGCGACGGGCTGTGTTCTCTGCAGGAGGTTGGTTCACAACAGCACTCTCTTGTGCGAGGGTTCTTGTCTTCTCGATGCAGTGCAGCAAGCGACGACGGCACAGAGATCGTACAGAGGTCGTGCTAGGGCCATTTCGATCGATGTCGATGCTGGTGCTGCTGCCGCTGGTGATGACGATGATGATGTACAGATTGTGCCGCTAGCTACCAGCCAGAGACCGCAGATTATCTGATGCTCGAGATCAGCAAGCAAAATAATTAACTAGTTCGCATAGTCGTGGAGAGCCAGCGGTGGCAATTGGCGCCGTGCCGTGGTGTAGGGTGGAAAATAAGAGCTGGGGAAAGGGGAAGGGTGCTGGGAAGGAGGGAGGAGGATTCGCAGCTTGTGATGTCTCAAATATAGACAGCTCAAACAATGTCTCATGCCTGACTCGCTCTCGGTTCCTCTCTCTTTTGGCTGCACGTCCGCTGGCCAACCCGGCACACCCGTCTTTGAAGGGTCAGCCCTGCCATCGACAGCGGCTCTCAAACTGCTCAGCCGTCTCGAATGCTGGGGGAAGAGCCCACCAGCCCGTCCATCCCCATCTCGATGCACCCCCTTTCATCAAAGTGCCGGCCCTGGGAGGCTGGCGGAAGAACGTAAGCCCGCCGAGGATCGTGCCGCTACTTGTCTCGATCCACGAATCGACATCGAGGGATGTTCGAGCCTAATTGGCTACCTTGTGGAGTCGAGCCAGGACGTGGGGGACGAAGCTCCCAGGTCCGCCGTCCCAGTAAAATATTTTGAGCCCTGATGGGTCGCTCGCGAGGAAGAGACAGCAGCCAGCGAAGGAGGCTGATGCTGCTCTTCCTTTCTGGCAACAGGACCCAGTGTTAGCCTTCTGTCAGTCCACCTGCCACGCGAGGGTTCTGCACCTTACCTCTTTAAGGGGAGCCCAGCTGTCGCCCATCCTGTGGCTCCTCCCGATCGTCTCCTGTTCCTGATCCTGTCCGCTGTCGTCTGTCCCCGTCCCTTTGCCCTGGCTTCGTTCACCCTTTCGTTCTGCACGAAGTCCAGCAGAGGCGAAGTCGCGGAAGAAGCAAAGAGCGGCTGCTCGGGCCAGAAGGTTGTTGCAGTAACTTATTTTTAGCCTTTTTCGAGGCGATGCTAGCGTAACTTTGGTAACTTTTGGGCTCCTTTCCCCCTAGCGTACCGCTGTACTGTCATTACAGATACCGCATGTTTCACTTGCAGGTTCACGTCTTTCCTTTTGGGCGTCTCTGCAAGCAAAAAAAAAAAAAACTTCGCCTGTCAGACGCTTCGACTTCGACTTCGACTTCGACTTCTGACTCTCCGCCGTCCCTTCGCTCGCTTTCATCTGCGTTGTTGACAGGAGAAGAAGGACTCTCGCTTCTGCTGGCGTGCTGTGTCGTGATCCTCTTTTTTTTTTCTCTTTCTTTCTATATTATCTAGTTGTGTTTTTGTTTCACTCGTTAACTATTTTTCCCGCTTGCGTTGGCTGCTCTGCTTGACTACGCAACGCCGGTTTCACTGCTCCCCGTCGTTTGCTGTAACACCACCACCACCGCTGCCATCGCGACCTCAGCAAGGCCGCCGTCTGTCGTCCGTCGCTCGCTCTGCTCGCCATTGATCTCTGCTCTGGCCTGCTTGACCAGCTGCGTTCCCTTCGTTTCGATCCTCGTTGCTGGGCCGTCTGGTGGGTGTGGTGAGAAACGAGCAGTATAGCCAAGGTACATGTCGACCAGACAACCACCGCTATACCACGACGACCACGACGACTGAACGACATCCACGGCCACTCTCACTGCTCGATTCTATTCCAAACTACCCCCAGAAGATCACCTCCTCTTGCTCTCTAGGCCGCTGAGCCAGTGACCCTCCAGCGGGGAGGCCAGATAGGACGAGCCATGGCTACACCAACCCATGCTCAGTCTTCCCTTCCTGCCCTACCGGCACATCTTCAGAATGATACTCACCTGGCTGCTCATCTGGCCAGCAGGTAAGCGTATTCACTGTTCCCCGCGTCTTCTTCTGTTGGCGAAATAATAGTCTGACTGATGTTTAGGTTCCATGTCTCCCTGCCAACCGCCCGTCTCTCCTCCCAGGCATTGATATGTCTAAATACATACACCTCATCCACCAAGGGGCCGGATGGCGGCAAGGAAGGTAGTGCCATGGGAGAGGCCGAAGATCTCGCCAGACGTGCCTGGACGAGACTCGGCTCTCGTGGTGAGAACCAGGCCATCGTCTTCTTGTAGGTTTTGACTTTTCCATCCATAGTTTGTTAAACATAATTTGCTAACCCGTAAAAATAGGGGAGAGTCTGGATCTGGAAAAACTACTATTCGTTCACACCTTCTTTCCTCCATTCTGTCATTCTCATCGACCCCTCTATCGACAAAACTCTCTCTAGCTGCATTTGTGTTTGACACCCTCACTACTACCAAGTCCGTCACCACTCCTACTGCCTCCAAGGCCGGTCTTTACTTCGAACTGCAATACGATGGATCATCCACCGTCAACCCTACCCTCATTGGTGGAAAAGTCCTCGACCATCGACTCGAGAGAAGCCGTATTGCATCTGTCCCTACGGGAGAACGTTCGTTCCATGTTCTCTACTATCTTTTGGCTGGTACCAGCGCTGCTGAGAGATCGCACCTGGGATTGGAAAGTCCCACGACGGTCAGAGGCGGCGCCGGTAACCGCACCTCTGCCAGTGAAATGCACAAGAGATGGCGCTATCTCGGCCACCCAACCCAGATGAAGGTCGGAATCAATGACTCGGAAGGCTTCCAGCATTTCAAGACTGCTCTCCGCAAACTGGAGTTTCCTCGCAGTGATATTGCGGAAATCTGCCAGATTCTTGCTTGTATCCTTCATCTTGGACAGCTAGAATTCGCTAGTGGCCAGTCTACTAGAACTGCCCCCGAAGAGAGTGGTGGCTATTCCCATGAGGGTGGTGAGACTGTCACCATCGTCAAAAATAAAGATACCCTGGCCATCGTAGCCGCATTCCTGGGACTGAGCACCGACGACCTGGAACTTAGTCTCGGAAACAAAACAAAGACTATTCACCGCGAGAGAGTTACCGTTATGCTGGATCCTGCAGGGGCTCGAGCCAACGCTGACGAATTCGCGCGCACACTTTATGCCCTCCTGGTTGCCTATGTGATTGAAAATATCAACCAGAGGGTCTGCGCCGCTGAGAGCGCTGTTGCCAACACTATTTCTATTGTTGACTTCCCTGGATTTGCCCAGACCTCTGCCACTGGCTCAACCCTAGACCAGCTCTTGAACAATGCTGCTACCGAGTCTTTGTATCAGTACTGTCTGCAGAACTTCTTCGAGCGCCAGGCCAACATGCTTGAGACTGAAGAAGTCAGCGTTCCCGCCACAAGTTACTTTGACAACTCTGATGCTGTCAGAGGCCTCCTTAAGCACGGAAACGGTCTCTTGTCCATCCTTGACGACCAGACTAAGCGAGGACGGACTGATATGCAAATGTTGGAAAGTATGAGAAAGAGGTTTGACAACAAGAACCCTGCCATCTCTGTTAGCAGCTCAACCGCTATCTTGCCTGGCAGTAACTTCCCCACTCAGAACACTGCTGCTTCTTTCACCATCAGACATTTTGCCGGAGAAGTCGAGTACCCGGTCAAGGGCCTTATCGAGGAGAATGGAGATCTCATCTCGGGAGACTTGCTCAACCTTATCAATAACACCAGAAGTGGCTTCGTCCGCGATCTGTTCGGTCAAGAAGCCCTCCAGACCATTCACCATCCAAAGGAGAGGTCCGCCATCATGCAGGCACAGGTCAGCTCAAAGCCATTGCGAATGCCCAGCATGGCCCGCCGCAAGACGAGCAGAGTGTCCAAGTTTGCCCCTAATGCTCCGAATTCAGAGAATGACGATACAGATGATGCCAGCAGTGGTAGACGGGGTGCATCGGGAAATCATAATAAGAAGACAGGAGATGTCGGTCTCAAGCAAGGAGCTGCTGCTCAATTCCTTGCCTCTCTTGACAACATTAACAAATCTCTCTCTGCCACAAACGTCAATCCGTACATCGTCTTCTGCCTCAAGCCCAATGATAGACGAATTGCCAATCAGTTCGACAGCAAATGTGTACGTACCCAAGTGCAGATGTTTGGCATTGCAGAAATCAGTCAACGTCTACGGAATGCCGATTTCTCCGTCTTCCTGCCCTTCGCCGAGTTTTTGGGTCTCGCTGAAGAGGAGTCTGTCATTGTTGGAAGTGACAAGGAGAAGTCTCAGCTTGTCATCGATGAGAAGCGTTGGCCTAATAACGAGGCCCGTGTTGGTAGTACCGGCGTGTTCTTGAGTGAACGATGCTGGGCCGAGGTTGCAAAGGTTGGGGAGAGAGTTGTGCCTGCATTCAATGGAAGTGGCACAGACGACGGCAGTGGAATGGGTAATAACGGATATAGCGACTCCAAGGTCCGGCTTCTTACCCCAGCAGACAGCACTCCTGGTGCTTACATCTATGGCGACGAAACCAAGGGAGGGTACTTCAACAGCCGGGATGTTGATGCCCGTTCAGATGCTGGTGCATCCGCGTTCCACTCAGGCGATATGTTCAAGAACTTGGAAACTCGTGAGCAGATGGCTGAAAAGGGAAATGAGAAAAAAATGGTTGAAGTGGAAGATGTTATTGTTTCGGGCAGCCGTAAACGATGGCTGTTCCTCGTCTACCTTCTTACTTGGTTTATCCCTGATTTCCTGATCAAAATCGTCGGTCGCATGAAACGAAAGGATATACGTATTGCCTGGCGTGAAAAACTCGCTATCAACATGCTTATCTGGTTCACTTGCGGCTTCGCCATCTTCTTCGTTATTTTCTTCCCTGGCCTCATCTGTCCCCCACAACACGTCTATTCCGCAGCCGAATTAACTACCCACAACGGTGATCCCGGTAAAGATGCATTCATTGCCATCCGTGGTGAGGTCTTCGATCTTGGAGAATATGCTAAATCCCACTATCCCAGCATTGTTCCCCGAAAGGATTTGCTTAAGTACGCTGGTACCGATGCAAGTGACCTGTTCCCGGTCCAGGTTTCTGCTCTCTGTGATGGTGTAGATGGGAAAATTGACGATGCTGTTCAACTTGACTACACTCCAATAAACCGTACCGGTTCAGCCTCCGTCATCAGCAAGTCTGACACCAACGCTCAATATCATGACTTCCGTGCTTTCCTTGAGGATTCCAGACCATGGTGGTATTTCAAACAGATGAAAATGCTCCGTCAAACTTACGCCAAAGGCCATATTGGTTTCACACAAAAACACCTAAACGAAATGGCTGATCAATCGCAATACATTGCGTTAATCAACAACCGTGTATACGACGTCACTACCTACATTACCGGTGGCCGAATAGTCAAATCCAAAGAGGGACAGGCTACTCCAAAGGATGTCAACGTTGACTTCATGCATCCCGATGTCATTAGCCTTTTCCAACGCTACCCAGGACAAGATATTACCAAACGCTTCGAGGAGCTTAATATCGGTAGCGCAATGCGTAGGAATATGAAAATTTGTCTCGACAACCTATACCTTGCAGGCGAACTCGACATTCGTACCTCTCCCAGATGCTTATTCTCCCAGTATTTCATTCTTGCTATCTCAGTCCTCTTGGCCACCATCATTGGATTCAAGTTCTTGGCCGCTCTGCAATTTGGAAAGAAGAATATTCCCGAGAATATTGACAAATTTATCATTTGCCAAGTTCCTGCATATACCGAAGATGAAGAATCTCTGCGCCGTGCCATCGACTCAATGGCTCGCATGAAGTACGATGATAAACGCAAGCTTCTCCTTGTCGTTTGCGATGGTATGATTATTGGACAAGGAAATGACCGTCCAACTCCTCGAATTGTTCTCGACATCTTTGGTGTTCCAGAAAATATTGATCCAGAGCCTCTCAGCTTTGAAAGTTTGGGAGAAGGAATGAGACAGCACAACATGGGTAAAGTCTACTCTGGTCTTTATGAGGTGCAGGGCCATATTGTTCCGTTCCTGGTTGTTGTCAAGGTTGGAAAGCCGTCTGAGGTATCGAAACCTGGTAACCGTGGAAAGCGAGACTCGCAGATGGTTGTTATGCGCTTCTTAAACCGTGTTCACTATAATGCTCCCCTTAGCCCTCTCGAGCTCGAGATGCACCACCAGATCCGTAACATCATTGGAGTCAACCCGACATTCTACGAGTTTATCCTGCAAGTCGATGCCGATACTACAGTCGCTCCTGATTCAGCAACTCGAATGGTGGCAGCATTCCTTCATGATACACGTGTCATTGCCCTCTGCGGAGAGACAGGTTTGAACAACGCCAAATCCTCAATGATTACCATGATTCAGGTCTACGAATACTACATCTCTCATAACCTTACGAAAGCTTTCGAGAGTTTGTTCGGTTCCGTCACCTGTTTGCCCGGTTGTTTCACCATGTATCGAATCAGAGCCGCTGATACTGGAAAGCCTCTTTTCGTCAGCAAGGAAGTCGTTGATGCCTATGGTGAAATTCGTGTCGATACCCTGCATATGAAGAACTTGCTTCACCTGGGTGAGGATCGTTACCTGACCACCCTCCTCCTCAAGCACCATTCCAAGTACAAGACCAAGTTCACTTTCAACGCGCACGCCTGGACCATTGCACCTGATACTTGGGCCGTCTTCATGTCTCAGCGTCGTAGATGGATCAATTCCACAGTACACAACCTGATTGAACTGATTCCACTCCAGCAGCTCTGCGGTTTCTGCTGTTTTAGTATGCGATTTATCGTGTTTATTGACCTTCTCAGTACTATCATCCAGCCAGTTGCCGTTGCATATATCGTCTATCTTATCGTTCTTGTTGCCCTAAACAGTGGAACTGTCCCATGGACAGCCCTTGTCCTACTCGCAGCTATCTACGGTCTTCAGGGCATCATCTTCATCGTCCGCAGGAAGTGGGAGATGGTTGGATGGATGATAATTTACGTTCTCGCCATGCCTGTGTTCTCCATGGGTCTCCCTCTATATGCTTTCTGGCACATGGACGATTTCAGTTGGGGTAACACCCGTATCGTCACTGGTGAGAAGGGACGTAAGATCGTCATATCTGATGAAGGCAAATTCGACCCAGCTTCCATCCCCAAGAAGAAGTGGGAAGAATATCAAGCTGAACTATGGGAGGCTCAAACCCACGCTGGTGCTGATGACCGATCTGAAGTCTCCGGCTACTCGTATGCCACTAAGACTCACTACGCTCCTGCTACTGAGTACGGATATTCCGCTTCCCGGCCCGTATCTCAAATAGACCTCAGCAACCGCTACAGCTCCCGTCTTTCGATGTCTGCCACAGAGCTACTTGGCCGAGGCTCAGATGTTGAGATGGCTGATCTTTCTGCCCTACCAAACGATGACTCCCTCCTCGCTGAGATCAGAGATATCCTCCGTACCGCAGACTTGATGACCGTGACGAAAAAGAGTGTGAAGCTTGAGTTAGAACGTAGGTTCAACGTCAACCTAGATGCCAAACGGGCGTACATTAATTCAGGTATGTTATCCACATTCTACCTAAAATTCTTAACCCAATTTTGGCTTCCATATTCTAACTTTTGATTCCAATAGCCACCGAAGCAGTTCTTTCGGGCCAACTTTAAAAATGCAAATTAAATTCAAATATTTCAACCGAAAAGTGAGAATCGGAACAGGTGGTATTTTCTCTGCTCCATCTTTACGAGCACAATGTTGGCTTCATCTTGCAGATTTCAGACTTCTAAACCTGTCTTATTTATTTCCCCTCTCCGACTTCATACGATATTTACTCCTAATAAACTTTTGTGCCGTACATCATTTCTATTCCCCTCTTGTTGTGTTTCTATTCTCTTTTTATCTATCTAGTGGTTCTGCCTTGTGTCTTGGTTTATGACAACATTCAGCTGGCCTTGGTCTTATTGTGTGTCTAATTATATGTGTTTTCCTTCTTTCTTGTTATCTAGCTATCAATTGTTGTGTGAAGCGCATGTTCATTATTATACGAGAGACCAGGAGCGGAGAGAAGTAATTAGATAATGTTCGTTGATTTTGGGTATATAGCTACGCCTATTGATAATTGATGCCTGAGTTTCGACTTTATACAATACCCATGTATTTTCTATGTATCCTCGGGCTGTCATGGCTAGCCGCTCGCTTGTTAGAGTGTAGAGTGACCTCGGTGTGTTAATAGCCAGTATTATTAAAAGCGGCTGCTGGTTTTGTAGGCCTTTGTAATACACCACGATGCTTCTAGGAAGACCAACCGACTTTAAACCAAATGAGCGAGGGGCAGAAAGAAAGTTTAAGAAAACTGTCGACTGAATTATCATTTCCTCTATGCTATGCGAGAATTTATATTGCTAAAATGGCAGTACCAAGCCATGTTGTAGGTACAGGTCCGTTATACATTTATAGACTTTCAACATTTAAAGAATGAGAAGCCTAGTGAGTACACAGAAGGTAATGATAATTCAGCCTTGTTTTATTTTTTTTTCTCCCCTTTTCTTAAGTTCGTTAGACTTGTATAGAGGGGTCCCTTGTTTATACTTGTGTAAAGCAGACAGCTGTGGTGTGTGGTATCATGTCATATAGATGATTTGCAGAAAAGAGAAAGGAAACACAAGAGGTATAAAAGCTGGAGAAAGAGAACAAAAGTATAAGAAGAGAAACCCTTCGAAGAAACATGAAACGTGAACACCGAGAGGAAGCTATAAAGGTTTGGTATAAGTAAGCGAGAGCGGGGTGGGGGTATCCGATGAAACAAGGCAGAGAACAAGAAAGATGAGACATGGTATAATAAATGGAAACAGGAGTAGCTCCTACCAAAAAAGCAACTTCAGAAAAGAGGAATTCTCCCCACGATGTTAAGCAAGAAAGGAACAGTTGGATCGACCAAGAGTTCGATGAAAATATAGTGTCAGTGACTTTTCGAAAGAAGGGGAAAATGAAACTCATTCAACGGTGTTCTTTTTTGGTATCATTGATGACTGGGTTGGGTATAAATAGTTTTTCGACCTTATTTTCCGTCGTTTCATGATATAAGAGATGCGGGTTTGTGGAAGAGTTGGCTGCTTAGCGAGGGGGACCGATAGGAGCAGAGTAGGAGTTGGAAGTGCTGGGTCGTCCGCTGTCGAAGGAAGCTCGTAAGTCGTGCCTGGGAGTCATGTCACCTCCAGACACTGATCCGGAGCCCCCGGTTCCGAAGGGGAACTTATTGTCAAACCGAGTGGGCCAGCCGTTACCTGATGGAGTGAGCAGGTCTTCCTTTGCTAGATTGACGCCAGAGTCATTCCAAGGGTTACGGTAACCACTGTCTCGAGATTCCATGGAGACAAGAGAGGCTTTTGAGGCGTTGCTGGAGGCGTGCTTGAACAGCGAACCTGGCGACGAAGATTGATTCTTTCGGCCAATGAGTGATGAGAAGGATGCGATAGAGCCCGGTTTTCGAAGACGTCCAAAGATGGAACCGCGGTCGGCAGAGTCATCAGTAGCAAAGCTGGCGCGGATAGGTGAGTCTGCAACAAGCGGAGGGGGAGCATGATGAAGAAGCTTGGAATCGAAAAATGGAAGCGAGTCCTCGAAAGAATCAGACTTAGGCCGGGGGATGCTGCCCTTGACAGTCGTGGCGTCTAGACCGTGGGGAACAAGGCGAGAAATAAGGAAATCAACAGCGTCTTTGATGCCGCCAGCATTGTTACGAGTGAAGTTCATGTCAAGTGTATCTTCAGATAGAGGCTCTGCATTCTCTGGGTCAACAATGGCTTGACGGGTTGCTGTTCCCAGGGAAAGCTCGATTTCATATTGTTCTCGCAGATTTCGGCATATGACTTCCGAAAACTCGGGCGTAAGGAAGAACGCTCGAAGTTCATCGGAGACACCGAACACCATAGAATGGCTTTCCGGGACCATTCCCTATAGAGTTAAGTTAGCAATGATTGGAAGAAAACGCCGAGATAGAAGAGTGCAGCAACATACCAAGAACGCATCAACAGCCTGTGGTACTTGATATTCTGGGCCAGAGATAGTGACTAGATCACTGGCCGTTTCTGTGCTTGGGAAGTCAATCTTGCAATTCCACTTCTTCTCTAGCTCATCAATATCCTTGATCCTTGCAACCAGATTACGATGGTAAAGACGGTTGACGACGACGGTCTCCGAGACGAACTCGGCATCCTAGGACTCGTTCAAAGTGGACATGAGCAAAATCATCCCTGAGTTGTTGTGTCTATATGAGGACGACTCACGACTTTCTCAACCATGTCCATAATTTCCTGTTTGACTAGTTCGAGATTCTGTGCGTTCCTTGCTGGGGTACGACAGATAACGTTCTCGACTCGGCCATCGTCGTCATCTTTTCCGGCGCCGCCTCTGTCCATAGCATTGGAAAATTTGACGAAGACAGAATATTTCTTCATGACACGCTGAATATGCTGGCCACCGATACCGATGATACGTTTGTGGTATTGGTCTGGAACATGGAAGGAAATAGATGCTGGCATCTCTTGCTCAACAAGGTGGAGACCCTGTTTAACGGCTTCATAGTCATTGGCACAAACATCGATATAAAAGTTGTACTCGTTGAAGCCGTCAAAAATAATTTGGACGTTTCCTACAACTATAGAACGTTAGTACGGAGGATCAGATGATTTACAAACACATATTTTGCCAATATAGGATAAGCTACTTACTTTGGCTCATGATTTTGTTAATCTTGCCATTCTTCTTACCGCTCACGAACTCCTTGTGTTCATTGGCGAGCTCAATCTTAACTTTCATCTGGTGCGGGGACCTTTTGACGAAGGGAATTTGATGAATGACCATCATAGCAGCCTTGACAGAGTCGTCTGAGCCGTGGATGTGGAATGTTAAGTTGTCGAAAGTGACGTCCGCACCAGAATTCGCACAGATATCAGAAAGCATTGTTCTGACGTCTGCTGGGGACGGAGTTCGCATTTGTGGATTGTCTGCCATGAGCCACCATGTAGCACCATAAAATTGACCAGCCTAGAACTGTTAGTGGTACTCCATGCCAGCTGATATGGAGACAAATAACTTACGACATTCATGAGCTCACGGATAGTACGCTCGACATGCAAAACATCTGTTCCCTGGACCCTAATGGAGCTAGTCCCGCTACCTAGCTGGGGAAGTAGAACAAAACACCCATTTGCTTCCATGACCTTCTGGATCTTGTCCAAGCGCTCAAGGATGATGCTGTCAACCTTTTCGGGGTGGATGATGGCTTCTTTGACATATATCTTGAGAACAGCAACTAGATCGCGGAGCTTTTGTTTAACGAGGTTGATATCCTCTTGGCTGTTTCCAGTGATATATACTTCGTCCTCGCAGCGTCTCGTTGCACCCGGGGGCATGTAGCCGTATACACGGGGGAACGGGGGAGGGAAATAGATAGCAGTATTTGTGGTGGCTTCAATCATTTTGATGTTCTTGCGTGTACGGCCACAGACAAGGAAATGAGTACTCAATTCTAGTCTTACAGCATCAACGCGCCGTTTGAGCTAGATATTTAAGTCAGAAAAGAATGGGCATTGCAACAAAGAGGAAACAGAGGGAGTGCAACGTACTATCTGATCGATCATGATCAATACTCTTGACTTTGCATGTTCAGCACTCTCTGCGTCACTGTAGATGGCAATCCTGAAACGTCGGTTCAGCCCACCATCAGCAGAGTAGCCATAAGAGGAACTGAGGGCATTGTCAGCATCAACAATCTTGGGGCTAAGCAGGAAGATATCCGCTCCGGTGTAGCCCGCCAATATATCGATATGTTCGAGCACAATCTTGCGGATCGAATCGGTCTCCTTCTGCAAGAGGAGGTCGACGTCGACGTCAATGGTCAAACTCCGCTAGAGCAACGGTCAGTATTCTGCATGGATCAAGAGTGAAACGGGACCACATACCAGGACGATTGGCGTTTCCCGATATATCCTGGCCTTCATCTGCTGTACCATTTCTGCTTCTCCTGAGATGCAGACGTTGGTGACGAGCCCATGATGACGTCTCTGCATGGGAGAGGCCATCTTGGGCTCGGACGAGGTGACGGTAGCCTCGATCCGGCCGCCACTGCTCTCACTCATCTGACGGCACAACTTACGCAGTGAGTCAACATGCTGCGTGTGGACTGGCAGACGGTGGGTAGGGGTCCCCTCTGGAGTACCCTCCGGAAATGTCCATCGTTGGAAGGCGTTTGGAGACGAGTGCAGAATATCTGCAGGATCTGGGCCAGGCAAATTCGAGGAAAATGGTATATTAAAGGATATATTAATCAGCTGCGGTTCAACGGAAGGAGCAGCAGACACAACCGTTCCGGCGGGGGTGCTGGCACCACTGGTAGGATTTGGAGAGGCCGATTGTGATGGCTGATGATGTGGCGGGAGCTGCTGCGATTGCTGCTGCTGTTGTTGTTGCTGCTGCTGCTGCTGAAGTGGGAGCTGCTGATGCTGCTGGGAGGGGTGCTGCTGGTGGTGCGGCTGCTGTGGAGGTGGCTGGCCCGGTCCCTGGGGACGGCGATACTGCGAGTTGGGAGCATCCTGCTGAGGCCGTGACATGCCAAAGTTGGGCGTCATGCGTTCCCAGCCATGGCGAGCCTGGCCGGTGAAGTTGGAGATCTTATGCATCGTCTAGGGCGCCAGGGTGGAAGGGAGGTCGCGAGTCCTAACCAGAGGCATACACGGGGACGAACGGGGGTACGATCAACGACAACGACAACGAGTGCTAAACACGAGGAGAAAGAAACGAAGACGGAGAGACGAAGACGACGAGAAAGAGAAGCGAGGGGGGCGAGAGAGGTGGTGAGAGGGAGAGGGAGAGGGGAGGCGGACGGAGGAGGAGGAAGAACGAGCAGCGGGAGAGAGACGGAGGGTCGAGGTTGAAAGATCCAAAAGAGGCAAAAGTGAAGCTGAAGAGGAAGAAAAAACTAAGAGGGAAAAGCGAAAAAAAGAGAGAGAGAAAAGGGAAGGCGGTGGGCGGGCGCGACTCGTTTTTTGGGGGGAGGGCCTTCTTTTCTGCCAGCGCTAGTCCTGGAAGGGGATAGCGTTGGCAACACGTGAGAGAATATTATATAATATTTGAGTCAGCAGTTAAAGATGACGACCGAAAGACGCAAGCAAGAGACGGCGAAAAGAAGAAGGAAAAAAAGCGAGAAGAGCGAGAAAAAGAGGCAGGTAGCAGGTTGAGAGGAGGTGAGAGGGGTTTGAGAAGGGGTCAGAAAGGGCTAATGGGGGCACGGCGGGTGGTGAAGATGGAGGTGGATGTGACAAGGTGGCAGGACGAGAGAGACTTTTGGGCTGAGAGTTGGAAAATCCAGGAACCCAGGCTGGAGCGTGAGAGCGAAAAAGCAATATAGGCTGCCTTGGTAGCGTACTTGGGCTGTGGAAAGATGGAGCAGCGAAGGGTGAGGAAGAAGAGGAAAAAAAAAAAAGGAAAGAAAGAATCAGCAGGAGACGGGCTTCAGCTCCAGCTTTTTGAAGGATGCCCTCGGAGGAGGGCAAATGCATGACTTCAACGCTAGGAGGAGCCAGAAATACGGTACAGCCACAGAGAGCGAGAGACATGAAGCTGTGAGAGTTGTTGATGTCATTTCAGGTGTATTTCACGGCGCGTTGCGCTGCCTGTGGTCCAGGCAGACATTGTCAGCACCAGCATTACCCTACCACGTACTCTGTATATCGCGAAGTGTATGGCGCTAACATGCAAGCAGAGAGACAGATAGGGGGACTACGCCGTGCAACTTGCATGTTGGACGGTGAGATATGCATACCTTGTCACTGCTATAGTCCAGGGTGTGTCGTATCTTTTCTCTGCGCTGGGACGAGCAGGGATCCGTGTCCCAAAACATCCCTGAGACGAGTCTGGCCACAGGCCCTCTTTCTCTGCTTCGGCTGAATGGATGGCAGCCACGGGCGAAAAACACAAGAGATATCCTGAGTGTGCGTTAACTGCCGGCCTTGCCGCCGTTGATGATGCAAACATAAGACTTGCCCACGGTTCACCCAGCAAGCCTCCTACATGGTATTCGCCTCTTTGGTGCATTATTTCTGCCCGCCATGCTTTTTTTAGCAGATACGATAGGATGTATTCATTTTTACAATATTTACGTTATAGTTGGTTTCCTATTTACAGACAGAACAACTAGTTCGTCGCCTTGAAGAACTGCGGAAACAGGGTCCGAATCTCCTCAAGATCGGCGATCTGATACTTGGACGCCCGGGTTTCTGGCGCTGGTAGGGTCGGCTCGACAAAGTGAATTGTCGTCCAATTGTGAGCCTGGGCATGACGACAGTTAAGGTGCGAGTCGTCTGCGGAACAACTCGTTAGAAACCCAAAAAAAAAAAAAAAAAAAAATCCAACCACGCGATTTAAGCAGAGCAAACTCCGTACAGAGTAAGCGTATTCAAGATGCAAACAAAACTTACCAACGAAATAGCACTGTTCTGGCGAAGCGGCTCCCGCCTCCCTCTCTGCCTTCAGGTACATCTCCCGATCTGGCTTGCAGACAAGCTTTTCTGCACCATAGTCACAGTAGGTGATACCCTCAAATAAATCATCCACGCCCAGAAGTTTGACTACTCTCTTCCCATGAGTGACGTATGCATTCGTCAGCAACCAGAGCTTTACTTTGGTTTTGTCAAAGTCCTCCAGCAACGTCCGGAGCTTCATGTTGGGCTTCAGGATGTCGTCTAGTGGCAGGGCATCGTCGACTTCCCGATTGAACATGAGCGGGTCGATCTTGTGAAATCGAGTCAGCCCTTCGATTGCCAGGCCGTATTCCTTGTAGTAGCGGTGGTGAAGCATCACTGCATCCTCCACATCGAGGGACAGGTGTTTGACAAAGAACTTGTCTACGGTGTCACCATTAGCAAGGTCACTCGTCTATACGCCCCATCATTGGCAACTAAAGAAGCATTATGAGACGTCTAACCAATGAGTTCCTGCATCAAGTCATGGATTTTGCTATCTGCCGGCGAAGGTTATGACTGTTAGCTGGCTGTTCTAAGTAGCAACCACCCCCGCCTGGCGTTATATATTGCGCAACACACCCCGTGAGTAGAGCTGCCCATTCAAAGAGAAACATGTTAGCACATATCCATCCCTATGTCTGAAACCATTATAATAGATCATCGTAGCTGAGCGCCAATCTGGTGTTCAAAAGGCTCCCCTCGGGGGCCTGTCACATATCAGGACTGCTGGTTGATGTCATAGAACGAACGTACACAGTTGTCAATGTCAAAGAAGAAGACCGGTCGCGAGTCCCGAGTACCATTTGATTCCTCCATCTTGTCACCTATGCGTAATATCCGCCTTCCGCAAGTCAACTACTATACTCCGTAGCTTCGTCTTCTTTCTCCTTCTTGTCCTCCGCGCTTCATCGCTTCTTCGTCTTCTTCTGACTCTTTCTTCCTCTCGTCCGAAGAGGCCTCTTGGATTACATAAGCAGGGATTAGATGACATAAGTAGTCCCGTCAAGGCCAATCAGTATTCACGTGACACGGAACTTTGGAGCTGCCGTCAAATTTCAACTTTCCATTTGAACAAAGGCGACCTAGAGGAAAGAAAGTCAACAAGAAGACAGCTTCGAGCATCGCGTCTCGTTTTGCTCCTAGATTCGAGTGAACTCGCTCGAGGGTCATGATGCTCGCGTCCGGTGGCCATTTACACGGCCAGGTCGCCTTTACGTCGGTGCCTGCTCCGTCTGCCCGCAACGACTCGCAACTGCCTACCAAAGAGGTGGCCGAGTATGAAAAGATATTGAACATCCGCGACCAGATCTTTGCTGGCACTCATCCTAGGCTGAAAGTCCCGGAGAGTGTGATTCGCAAAGTTCCTCCGCGGACCGTTGGGCAGACGTCGCCGTCGTCGACTTCCGCGTCTGTCGTCGCCCCCAGTTCTCAAGCTTCGGCTTCGGAACCAGGACCCCCTTCTTCTCTTCCTCCGGCACACCATGCTGCTCAAGGGACGGTCACATCTACTTCCTGGCCTCAGCCGGCGACTACTACTGTGAGCGGAGACACTGACTCCCCCGTCACAGGCGCGTCGACTCCGAAGCCAACATCAGAAATAGACCCTATCTTCCTGACAAAATCAGATGATCTCATCCGAGCAGAGACTCAATTGCAACGGCAGCGGATTGAACGTGCACTGCGAGATTATGCAGAGCAGAAGAGGGTAGAGGAGAGGCAGAAGCCGCCGTTACAGGAGCTAAAGCCTGACTTTGACGTCTCGGATGTTTTCAACAAGGCGTTGGAGATAGTGAAACCGCTTTCCCCTCCTTACGATCAAGATGATAACACTGGTATTGATGGTGATGGTGATCGGGCTAATAATGGCAATGCAGCCAGTGATTCCTTCGACGAGAATTCCTACTACTCGAGCAGAGCTCCCGATTCGCCGCAAAACGAGGAATACGATGAAGAAATGGCACCTGCGCCGCCGCTGGCTGGGAATATGGATACAGACGAGAGTGACGAGACTGTTATCGTAGATCGTGCCGGTGTCCATGAGCCTGAGCATGTTTCTGCTTCTGGTAATCACCATCTGCTTGATCAGCATGCTAACATTGACGATGATGCAAGAAGGGACCTGGAGAATATTCACCCATGGACTGAGGATAATGAAAATCATTACTCCCCGCCAGAGCCGTATGAGGAGCCAGAATATTCCCCGCCAGGCCCTGACCTAATGGTTAATGGGCGACAAGACTTACTAGAGCCCAGCTATCTTAGCCCATCAAGTAGACGGCAACCCCTTCCCATTCAACAACCTCCAGACCAACCGTCTCCAGCTCCTAAGAATTTACGGGTGGTGAGAAACCATATCACGTCTCCAGCAGCACCCCAGCCTTCCCGTGTCTCGCCTCTTGCCGTTACAAGGGTCTCCTCAATAACGCAGCCCCGTCAAGGTCGACAAAGTAGACAGTCTGTGAAGGCACCTGTTGATCAAGGCTCTGCACGTACTAGTCCAGAGACCGGCCATCCTCAGCAGTTAATGTCACGGAAACGTCGTCGCATTCAGCAAGCTCAAGACAAGAAGAAACTCGCGGAAGAGAGAAGAGCCGCTGCATCTCCTGATATGCCATATATTAAACCAGAGCCAGTCTCTCCCCCGCCATTCATAGATGCTCCTCCAGCAGTGTCCCATTATCCTAGGAGCCGGTTAGCTCAGGAAGTGCCGACTGATGTTGATTATGTGTCTCGTCACGACGACCATGTTATAGCTGGTCGTGTTCCGGCGTATGATGATGGGCATGGTAGGAACTATGAATTGGACAGTCCAATTGAGCTACATACCCCTCGAACAACTTCGAGAATAGGATATAGACGCCCTATTCGGGATGAGCATGACCTACGACGAGTGGCTAGTTTACAACATGCTCGACAGGCAGAGTATGTTCAAGAGTATTCGGAGCCGATCGCCGAGATATCTCCACGCCACGGGCGAGCTGTATCCTACGTTGAGCCCATTCACTCGGAGCGGCCTAGGTACCACGAAGAGAGCCAACCGGCACAATATACCACCACCAGAAGATACATGACCAGGCCACTCTCGCCCCAGTACCGTGAAAGTTATGCCCCAGTTCGCGTCTCTGAGTCCCGTGTCATGGGCCCTCCTCCGTCGCAAAGACGCATCGTAGTTGATGCGGAAGGTAATAGGTTCTACGAGTCAATTGATGCACCGCGTGCTATGCCTCCAGTATCAGTGCGGCCGCCCAGAGTCGAGGCCTATGACGGAGTCAGTCATGCCCCTACTCGGTCTATGTCGATAGTTGATGATCACTACCGAGACCGTAGGTACATTCAGGAAATGCCACCTCCTGAGATTACCTACCGTCGTAATGCTGGTCCCGGTGCAGGCCCTGGCTCAAGCTATACTACAGGCAACGAACTTGGTGATCCTCGATACTATGACAGCGAAGCCGCGGACCGTGGATCAGCGATGCGTAGCGCCAGTGTACAAGTGATAGACTATCCATCGCGCCAACCACAACACCTCCGCCAGCCTCAACCATCATTCGTCGACGAGTCTCACTTTCCTCATGAGGAGATCGTACGTGTGGCTAGCGTGCGCCCTCCACCTGTTGGCGTACCTCGATATGAGGAGCATCACGAAATTCGGCCTCGCATGACAAGTGTGCGACCTATGCGACGTGAAATGAGTGTCTACGTTGAGGATGAAGCCGGTCATGCTAGGGAATACCCTCCCGTAGAGCGATATAATGGGGCCCCCAGCTACACTGCACGACCAATGAGAGAAGAACGCTTCTACGAAAGCGCTGGTCCAGCTAGAATCGAGCATGACGAGGGCTCTGAGGTCATTCGACGAGTATCTCGACGATATTGAATTCGGAATTTTTTGTTTGTTGGTATTTTGTTTGACTATGACCGCTCCTTTGGAATTATATACTTTTTTTTGTTAGATACCCCTAGCGTATATGAAAGGAAGGTGTTGGAATATACCGCGCATAGCCCTGTTTGTTTGATAGCGAACTCATGATGTCCATGTTTCTCAGCATCTCAGCTTCTTTGCTCTTCACTATCCATCGTCGAACTTTGATATTCACTGTCAAAAGCGGCTACAAATATGCATTAGCCTCTCTAAACCAGCACTGGATCGTTCCTGGTGATTACGTAATAGAGTAAATAGCAACAACCTTAAAGCTGCCCAAAAACACATCAAGGACATTGGAAGCAGCTTTTTTCTGCAACAACACTAGGCCGACGGAAAAGGGCTGCTTTTGCTTTCTTTTTTCCTCTTATCCTCTAAGTTTATTGTCGCCCGACATAATGGTCGGGTTTGCTGCCGGCCAGCTTATCAAGCTTGCGGACGGTCGCCACGCGAGAATTCGATTCATTGGGACAACGCGTTTTGCCCCTGGAGAATGGATCGGATTAGAACTCGAAGACGCAACCGGTAAAAATGACGGCTCAGTTCAAGGAGAAAGATATTTCGAGTGTGAATATGGATTTGGCATGTTCGTCCGGGCGTCTGCCATTGTTGAGATTGTTGAGCAGGCGAGGAAAGAAGAGCCCAGGGTTGCGCCGAAAAGTGGCCTCGATGGCAGGGGAAGACCGGGGTCGATGATTGTGCCTCCCGGAGGCGCAGTGGGAACAAGAAGACAGAGCTTGATGTCATCTACACCGGGGGGGAAGAAGTCGAGTTCTGCTGCTTCAAGCCCTTCGCCTGCTCCAAGAGCCTTGGGTCGAGTGTTACGGGTGAGCTATACATTTTAACTTTCTCCAGTTACTCTATGTAGTATTGTTGCTAAGAAGCCGTGCGGACTGTGCAGTCGCCTACCAAATCACCGGTGAAACAGTTAGCTGGACCCGGTACTCCTGCTGCATCCCGGGCTTCCTCGACAGCTTCGAGGACTATTCCAAGCCATAAGCCCAGGCCAAGCTTATCAAACCGCAGCTCAGCAGCTCCTACTCCCACATCTACAACGTCTAACTCGCGTTTATCATTACGCCAATCCCAACCCCAATCTACGATGGGACCTCCTGCGAAAACCACTCGTACAGGGTTGGCCGCTTCGCGTACAACCATAAGCCCGGCCACATCCAGACGTATGTCACTAAAACCAGCTACGGCGAAGTCACCGGTAATGGGCAAAGTGGAAGCGAGCTCTGGTGAGCAAAGCGAAGATGCATCACGGGCAAGCTCACCTCCCGATGGGCCAGAGCTTGATGTTGTCAAGCCAAGTTTGGCTCGACCTACACCATCTCCGATGAGCCAGAGATCTGTTTCCGGCAGCAATATGCTAGTACAGAAGGAGCTTGATGATCTGAAGACAAAGCTGAAGATTATGGAGAAAAAAAGAGCGGAAGACCGCGAAAAACTAAAGATGGTTGAGACGTACCGGACAGAGAGAGACAAGTTCGAGACTATCATACAGAAGCTTAGGGAAAAATATCAACCTCAGCAACAGGAAATTACTACATTGAGAAAACAGCTGAAGGAAGCCGAATATAGGGTTGAAGAAGTTGAGAGACTTCAATCTGAACATGAATCCATTCTTGAGATGGCAGCATTGGACCGAGAGATGGCGGAAGAAGTTGCTGAATCAATCAAAGCTGAGTATGAAGCTTTGAAGATTCGGACAGAGGAATTGGAGCTGGAGGTAGAAGTCTTGAAGGAGGAGAATGACCAGCTTGGACAGGTCATGAGCCCTGAAGAGAAATCGAGTCAGGGATGGTTGCAAATGGAACGAACAAACGAGCGCCTACGTGAAGCTTTGATCCGCCTTCGTGATATGACACAACAACAGGAAGCTGACCTCAAAGATCAAATCAAGGATCTGGAGGAAGAACTCAAGGACTATAACAACCTTAAGGCTCAGTATGAGTCTACCAAGGAGAAGTTGCTTGCGTCAGAAGCGAACATGGAGGATCTCAAACAGCAGGTGGAGGCTTTGGGGGCCGAGGAAATGATTGAAGAGCTCACTGAGAAAAATATGCAGTACCAGGAGGAAGTGAACGAACTGAAGGCAATAATAGAAGACCTCGAGAGTTTAAAGGAACTGAATGATGAGCTTGAGATCAATCACATTGAATCTGAGAAACAGCTCCAAGAAGAGATTGATTTCCGGGAGGGTATTTATCATGAACAAAACCGAAAGATCTCACAACAAGATGCTGTCATTGAAGATCTTGAATATACCCTTTCGAAGTTCCGCGAGCTGGTCTCGACCCTGCAGAATGACCTAGAAGACATGCGAGCTTCGCAGCAAATCACAGAGACTGAGGCTACGGATCTAACCGTACGTTCGAGAGCAATGATGGATCTGAACATGAAGCTTCAAGCTTCAGCTGCAAAAGCCCAGGTCAAGTCTATGGACTTAGAGCTAGGTCGAATGGAGGCAGAAGAGTCTGCCAGCCACCTGTCTATTGTTAAGCTTTATCTGCCTGACTATTACGAAAGCGAACGGAATCCAATTCTTGCACTCCTCCGGTTTAAGCGTGTGGGGTTCAAAGCCTCAGTAATGGGTAACGCCGTAAGGGAACGTCTGGCCGACCCGTCAATCCGCTTCCCTGAGCGAGATGGATTTCTGGCTTACGAGGTACTCGAGAAACTTACCTGGATATCACTGGTCTGTGATAGATTTGTCACTTTTATGGATGGTTGTTCAAGCGAACAATTTTCTTCCTTTGAAGGAGCTCTATACGAGCTTGAACCAGTTGAGCGCATCTTGAACTTTTGGATTGAGAGCCTGAAAAAGGGGGAGCTGAATGAGAAGACTTGCGCAGATGAACTCCAGCGATCAACTGCTCTTTTGTCACATCTAGCGGAGACACTAATACCGCAACACGTCGAAGGTACTGGAAATGAGATGTACATGCTATCTGTCTTGACGCAGACTTATCTGGATAGCACAGCATCCGCTCTTGCTCAATTGAAGTCTAAAATTCAATCCAAAATACCTCCTTCGCCGGAAGACGAGGAAAGCCAACATCTCTACAAGAAAATTGACACAGTCGTTCAGCAGGCAAGAGGAATAAAAGTTGCATCAAGCAAAGTCACTCGGTCTTTAGAAGAACTGAGAACAAGATCACTAGCTCTTGCGGAGGAATGCAAAGAGGCATTTGAGTCAACCGAACAAGCCGCTAAGGAGCTGTCAGTAGTGGCTCAGCTCATCGGAAATAGTTTCCTACAACTTGTCGATGATGACGATCGCACTGAACCGTTCACGTACCCAGAAGTGTTGACTAGTATGTCTGATGCGATTGCTTCTATTCCTGAGGGATCACCTGGAGACAGCGATTCAAAAGACGCCCTTGCAATTATCGCCAATAAACTTCGTCTTTTGACAGGTTATGTTGATGAGACATCGAATCTTTCCTCCGATTTGTCTCAGACAGTTGAGTTTGATCGACGACAATCCCCATGGATTGCTCGCTCAAAGATGCTTAAGGCAAGTCAGGAGACTTCACCGGATGCTGAAGAAGAGATCAGACGCTTAAGGAATGAACTGAGTGAGGCGTCAAATGCTCTCGGAGCAAAAGACAGAGTCTTTGAGGAGCAGTCTATCAAGATCGAACTCCTTGAAGCACGTATGCGTGAGGCTGGTAAAAAGGCAGCTGTTGTCAAAGACTTGGAAGCTGAGATAGAGAATCTACACTCCAAAGAGAATGAGCTTGTTGCTCTAGTTGAACGACAATCTCAAAATATGCAGGCAATCGAAAGAGAGCGGGATGAGTACAGAAGCCGCTTCGAAAAACTGAAACGAGCTTCCGATTCTGAGGGAAGCAGCGGCGTAGGAGGGGTTGTAAACGCTGCGGCTTCATTATCAGTCATGAAAGAAAACGAGGCCTTACGGGCGGAAGTCACCAGCCTTCAATCCGCTATTCGTTATATTCGGGATGACAATAAGCGAGCCCACCTTCTTGATCCGTATTCTGTACAGAGAAGCAACCATATGCGCTCTTGGCTTGACGTTCCTTTGGTTCGTTCCAAGCCTTCGGTTAATGAGCAGGACCCCGATCATCGACACAAGCAGGCTGCCGAATGCCGCGACATCCTTAGTCACTTACTGAAGTTAACTAAGGAATCAAAACTCGTGGATCTCAAGGCAAGTAGCACTTCAGATCCTGCAAACCGTCTTGCATGGTGCCCTGTCAAATCAACTCCGAAATATCATGCCATGAAGCAACGTGAACATTATGAGCAGTGGAGCCAATGGAAAGACGAAGTTGTTAAAGAGAGGAAGACGAAGAAGCTGAATGCTGGCTCTGGTATCACGAGACGAGTCCAGCCAACAAGCAACCCAAGTGCTCCAGCTAGTTTTCCTGTGGACCATGCGGCCTTTCCCGATATTTCTCGGAAAGGGCTGGCACCTGACAGAGACGAGGGCGTAATGGGCAAGACATGGAAGATTCTCGGCCTCCAGCCGGATACTGGCGATATCCCAAGGGCATCAAATGAGCCCCAGATACTTGATGACTAGATTCGCGAGGACTAAAGGTTGCAAGTGCTAATCCTTTCATTTTATTTCCTTCAATATTTTTATTACTTTTCTATTTCAGTTCCCTGCTATATACCCGAGATATCTGTATATCAAAGATCAAGGATTTGTTGTATATTTCTTCGTAGCTAATTATATTCCGCCCTAATATACTTTTCCCCAACAAGTATTGCACGGATTTGGTCATTTTCAGGAATGTAAATCACCCTTTCTTGTCTACTGGCTAGAGCCGGCTATGGACCCGTACACACTGCTTGATCTCTCCTCAATCCGTGAATCAAAAGAGCGAGCCATGTAGATTCAACTCCGAACACAAAACTTTCGCCAGGTGAATGACCAATCAGATGTTGCGGCTCTTCGCCTTGCGCGCAAGGTTCCGGAAATCTTATCAGATCTACGTTATCAGATCGAGAAGCCTCGACGGTTATCACAAAGAATCGTCGAGTTTCACGAATTTACCTCTCGAAGGGCGTGTTAGGAAGAGTTATAAAGATTACCGAGGCATTTGCTCTTACAAATCACTCACGATGGTAGAACTGAAGCACTCCTTGATATTCGGAGCCCCTTTTCGAAGAGTAATAAAAGGGTGCTCTGCTCAACTTCGGTGGAAGGTAAAAGAGGCAGCCAAATTGATCCTCCTACATCAATCAAATCAGCCATTGTTGAATCAAGATACATTCTGTGGCAATAATGAGTCAGCCAAAGGTCATCAATCTCAAGAGTGACACCCAGTCTCTGCCAACTGAGCAGATGAAGCAGTTCATGATAAAAGCGGAACTAGGAGACGAACAACACAATGGAGACCCAACTACCGCAGAGCTATGTAAACGGGTAGCAAAGCTTCTTGGAAAAGAGGATGCAGTGTTTCTCCCATCAGGCACCATGTGTAACCAAATCGCAATCAACGTCCACTGCCGACCAGGAGATGAAATCGTCTGTGAGCGAACAAGCCATATTGTCAACTACGAGACAGGGGGCCCCGCTGCGAACTCGGGAGTAATGATTCATGCAATCGACGGAGAGCGCGGAATCTTTACGGCGAAGCAACTTAAGAGTGCTATCAGAGCCCCTTCACGATATTTCCCTGAAAGTAGACTGCTTTGTGTTGAACAGACGGCAAACCTCGGCGGAGGAGCGATATGGCCTCTATCCACGCTCCGGGACGTTGCTGCAACTGCCAAAGAAGCAGGGATGGCAACACATATGGATGGCGCCCGCCTCTTTAATGCTGTTGCTGCTACTGGAATTTCGGCAGCTGCATATGCTGAATCTTTCGACTCGGTCTGGATTGATCTAAGCAAAGGGCTTGGGTGTCCGATAGGGGCTGTTCTATGTGGATCTGCGGACTTCATTCGAAAGGCGTGGCGGTTAAAGCAGAGGTTTGGAGGAGCAATGAGGCAATCTGGTATCATCGCAGCAGCGGGGCTCTATGCTCTCGACCATAATATTAAACGTCTTTCGGAGGACCACGAAAATGCCAGGTTGTTGGCCAAATTATTGTCCGCTATTCCCAGTGTCAGCATCAAGCTGGACGAAGTGGAAACCAACCTGGTTTATTTCGAGGTGAATGATGGGGAGGGACGCCCAGCAGCTGCGGATTTTGTGGCAAAATTGCAATCTCTGGGGGTTAAAGGGGGGGCAATGGGTCCGTCGACAGTTCGGTTTGCAACCTATTTGAACGTCAGTGAGCATGATATCAGAGCAGCTATTCCTGCTATTAAAAAAGCCATGGCTTCGATAACCGAACAATAGATATCTGTAGAGTGATGAGGAATGATTGATAACTTTGAAAATAGTTATGCCCTATTAGTTTAACTATTAACTAAATTTATCGAGCAATCAGAGAGCATCTTGCCGGATACTCCATGGGGTATAACTTTCCTCCTAGATTCCACTGCTCATTACAACATATGTGCCACCCCGTTTTCCCCGCCATATCAAGAATTCATGCGCCTCCCGATAATTCCCACAAAGCGAGGGGATAGAAACTGGGAATATATATAATAATAAAATTAAACAACAATCAGGAGGGGAATCGAGTGCTAAAAATAAGAACAATGGGAGGTTTTAGCAGGCAAGGTAAACAACGCCTCCTACACCCAAAAGTGTAGATCAAGAGGAAGAGAAAAAATAAGATTGTTGGAAAGAGAAAGGAAAACCCTCAGTATGCAACTCCGATATCATTTGGGCCAAGGGGTATTTCGTAGTACGGGTCTTTACCGGTGAGTGTTTGGGATTCACGCTTTTCATTAGGTGTAGAACAGGCTTCCTGGGATGAAGTTTTGTAGCCCATTGCTATATCACAGATTTCATAGTCCTTCTCTGTTAATGCGTGAAAGCTGAGAGGTGACTGTGTGGTAGTTCCCATCATCACCGAGCTCGAGAGCGAAGGATTTCGTGATGAGTATCCTGCGGTGGATGCATTGGCTAATGAGACCATCGTTGAACCACTGAGTGTACGTGCTCTTGCATGCGAGGTATCGAAACGGAAGCTTGAGGGTGGGCGACCTTGGTGGGACTTGGCAGCAAACCATTCTGCAATGGTACGAGAACGAGTAGGGTAGTGTGTTGGTATTGGTACACTTGAGCTGTTACGGCCTTTACTTGGGCTGACAGAAGATGGAGTAATTTCTGATTCTGTCTGCTTCAGGTCGGTAAGGTCTTCAAGCGATGAGAGCGGGTAGCCGTTCAACGTTTCACTGCTCCTTCGGGGAGGAGATATGGCATTCTGTATCTCCTGCAGCTTTTCTGGGTCTGGTATCGTATGACGGCGGTCGTGAACTTCGATAAATAGTGAGTTTCTAGCGGAAGATGTGCCTATTGGTTTACGAGCAACTGCGAATGGAGATGAAGTTGACTCTGAGCGTCGGCGGTCATCTTTCTGATCTGGCATACAAACAGCCTTTGGCGGTGGGGCTAAGATTGGGTCTGTGGTTGAGTCTGTAGTTGTGCCCGTAGACCGAGAGCTAGCCTGGCCAAAGCCTTCTAGATCGAAGTCATCAAGACCAAAAGTGTCAAATGCCGGCAGATCTGGCAATTGGTTCCCTTCAACATAGATGCTCAATTCTAGAGGTCGAAAGGATCGACGGCGGCGTCTAGGAGTAGGGGTGCTTCCAGCAGTGAGATGACGAAAATCTGTCGGACCACTGATCTTTAATTTGCGGACGGGGGTGGTTTTTGATCTTTTCTTGTGCTTGACTAAGAGGCTCGCTCTGTTAGACGCTCTAGAAGCTAGACTTCTGGTTTCGGTAACTAGATTTGGCAGCAACGAAGCCCGTGAATCGGCACGACGAGGACTACTGGGGATGTCGTCGTAAAGAACCAGCTTCATAGGAGCAACCGGAAGGGGCTGCTCATCGCATACTGCGATGACATCTTCTTGAGCGCCTATAGGTGATATAGTTAGCTCGGCCTTCCCATTGACCCCGTGCATTGTAGCCTCGATACTTCCAGCATGCACAACCCGACCTGCCACTTTGTAATTAGTTACTTACTTGTGTCGTTGTGCACCTGGAGAGAGGGAGCCTGCTCAACGACCTCTGACCAGATGCACCATGAGCAAGAGGGAAGCCAGGCCGTGAACATTGAGCTTGCTCACTCCAGCAGCATCATCCTCTTATGCTTGAGATCCTGTGCCCATGGCAGTTGGTTCTCCTGGAACTTTTTTCAGAGCGACGATGGACAAGCCGGCAAAAGAGCGAAGCAAGCTTCTCTAAAAAGAGAATTTAGACATAATTCCGGGCGCGAAGCTTTCCTCATATATGAGAAACGCACCCTGGGGAGGACGGGCTCCCAGCAGCCAGTCTGTGGGACCTCCCTTCATATCAGAGAGGGGCAGGCGCTGGCGCCTTGCATGAGCGTTGGCCAATGGACAGGCGGTGTATGCAGGCGACATGGCTCCGTCACACTTTTAGGGTGGAAATTCGCGATGTTTGAGAGCAGGCGGGATGACAGTGCGTATGCAAACCTGGTGTGGTATTAAAGTGTTGTAACTATAACACCGGCAGCGCCAAGGGGTTAAGGATGTCGGGCATTTGGGCTTGGAATCTGCTCCCGTTCGCTGAAATGAGAGGGGAAGCGAGCAGGGGACATCCCGGCCGGTGAGGCAGTGTCCAATCGACGGCGGGTTGAAGCCATCCTCCGCGGTGTCAGATCTGCACAGCAGTCCAATCTTAGCTCAGATGGGGAGCGACAGGCTGGAGAAAGCTGCTGGAAGGTCGTGAACCGAGAAGCGAACGGTGAGTAGCCGAAAAAGAAAGAAACGAAGAGAAGAGAGGAGAGAAAAAGAAAGCATAAGGACGCTTGCAACAGGAAGAACGGGTGACTTTCCTGAGATTAAAAAGAAACAACATATACAGATATACAGGAGATGCCAGGGGAGGGGGGGAGGTAAATCCAGGGGGAAAAACACGCAATAACTCCGCAGATTCGAAATTTGCTTCTCCAAGAAATTAATTTACTATGCACCAAATGTGTAACGGGAGGCTAACCATCTAGTTATCTGGTCGCACCAGAGGTGTTCCAGGCGTCATGTTCATCGTCAAAGACACCGCTGTACCCCTCTGGTCCCGGCCTGGATCCGTCATGTTGGAAGCCGCTGGTGTGATCATGCGTGTCGTGATCAGTATTATAATTAGAATAGTCAAGGGCTTCGCTTTGCTCTGGTTGGAGCTGCGATGCTTTGCTAGCGTGGTGTGTAGTGTTCCTGGTGCCTTGATGTTAGTGGCAACATATTTCTCCAATTCAAGGGATCTCTCTCTTTCGCTCTCGCTCTCTCTCTTTTTTTTCTTTTGCCTCTGAAGAAACTCACATGGATTGCTGTTCCTGTGCATAACCTCGTGTAACGGTATCACGAGGAAGCTGATCATTTACTCCCTGAGTTGCGGTCTCGTCTGCATCATCGACCAAGTCTGCAAGCTGGCGGGAAGAGCTGCTCAATTGGCTCATCCGGCTTGTCCCTCTGGTTAGAGCGGCCGGCTGCTTGCCCTTGTCTGCCTTGACGTTACTATATGCTGAGCCGGACTGCCCTTCTGCAGAACGCTGACGTTTGCTTTGGCGGTTGCCAGGCCGTCTTATCTGATTTCCTTCACTTGATCCTTGTCGGCTCGAGTACATGGATGCACGAGAGTGCCACACCTGTTCTCTGTATACTTCGTTTGTTGTTATGACGGGGTACTGTATCACAGTTAGCACAGCCGAGCCTGAAGCCTTGATACCAAGCATGGCTACATACATTCCAGTCGCCAAATTCTAGTTTACGCGCATTCTCAAAGCAGATTTCATCATCCTCGTTGAGAGTAGGCTCCTCGATGTCATACGTTCGCTGGCCTTCGTCCCTTATACGGCTCGAACTGGCATGGGATGTCCTCCGGGATGACGATTCAGGTCCCAATAGTGGTGTGCGGCTATTCGCCTCTTTAGGCTTGGGGATCCAATACTTTGCCTTTCCTCCTCTTTCGTATCGCATGCCGTCCATCACGCGAGCCATCCGTGATCGGGATTCCTCGTGGGCAATGACGTTCGTTTCTGAATCAAAAAATCGATACTGGTACTTTTCACCCCGGAAAGTTTCCTTGGTATCCTCAATGAGATCCTTTACTCCGAATGCATCGCGAATCGCGTATTTTACCGGCATTCGAGCGGAGGAGATTGACGCATTTGCGTAGTCATGCCATGAGAATGCATACCAGTGCATAAGTGCAAAGATTGGCATCTCGCAGCAAATCAATAAATCCTGAATTGCAGCTGCCATGTTGTTCGGGGAGTACCCTTCGGGTCCAGAAGGAATTGCTCCTAGAAACTGAAGGATAGAAAGAAAGAACCCTTGCCAATAGGACGCGAATATGATGAGTTTGACACTCAGGAATTTCGGGACTGGCCTGTAAGGCTTGAGATCGTCATTCATAATGATCCAAAACAACGCCAGAGAATATAAACTGATTGTGACGCTGAGATTGTAGATAATCCCAACCCACAGGTATCCGGAGGATAGGCCAATGTAGCCCTCCTGGAAGGTTCCAGTTGCTTTAAGAATGATGGTAACCAATGCAAGAATCGGTTTTAGCCATGCGTACTGTAGAATCCCTCTCTTCACTGCGAGAAAGGTATACGGATCGGATATGTCTATCTTTGAGAGACATTTATTAAGAGGCCAGGTGTGTTGTATCGGAGGACGGCCATGGGTCATAATTATCAGTGACCTCTCTCCTCCGAGAAAGTTGATCAGGAGCTGGAAAAAGGTGTAAATGGTAAATGCCTAGTGATAAGCCTGAATCAGCCTATATATTCCCACCGTGACATGGAAAGGCACCGCGCTTACTTCATAGATATCTCGAATAGGTGCAACCCACGCTGCTGCTTTCAACGAAACTATGCTTGTCCAAGATGATATCGCAAATATAGGTACCCTAACGGGGTGTCAGCAAGAGATTCAAGCTCCCGACTGGCCAGTCTTTTTTCACTGACATCAAAAGTATTCTGACGACGTATCGTTGGAGGAGAGGTTTCCGGTAGTTTTTACTATAGCTCTTTCAGTAACCGAGTCAATAGCAGGCATGGGAGTATATTGGAAGAGCTCACGTCTGTAGCCAGATGGACCTGATATATTTGATACATGTCAGTTACTTGCGGCCTAAGTAGGCGGACAGGAAAGGGCAGAAGTACAGTAGCGAGATGAGAGAAGCCATCAGCGAGGCCACTCCGGCCACGATAATGGCTGCCTTAGCCAGGCTGGAGCCTGTGCCTCCAGTATTCGAGCTGAAGAGCATCATGCTGCCTCTGGTTGCTATGCGACTGCGGTGGTGCCGGTCAAGATACCATCCTCGTTCAGCCTTTGGCCATCTGAGACCAGCCAATGTCGAATAAAACAACAAACCGGCCCTCGCGCAGTAAACCTGGGCCTTCTGTAGCTACTGCTCGGTATCCGTCTCTGTTGCTAGGATGTCAGGCCCGCGAAGGCAGCAGGATAAACATGAGAAATGATGCTGCTCGTAGACAAGCAAAGCTTCATCCCTGGCGAGCTTCTAGATCGTTTGTTTGGCTGAAAAAAATAAAAATAAAAATTAGCTAAGGAAAAACGCGTGACGTCGCGGAGCCCCCTTCTTCCTCGCTCACTAGTTAACTAACTATCGACTTACAACGTGAGAGTGCTGGGGAGCAAACATCGACGGCTTCAACGACAACACACAGGCTTGATATGCACTTGGAATGGCTGTGAGGACAAGTTGATGGGCTGAATGTGCGATGGTGCTGCTTTGGAGCAAGCTGTCCTTGTCTTCCAACCTGTGTCGGCGATGCGACTGAGCCGTTCGAGATGCATATGACCAATGTCCTACTCACCGCTGCACCCGATTGCGGACGGCAAGCTGACCCCAGAGTCGCTTACGCCGGTCCCTCGATTCAACTGGTGCGTTGATCGCCTGCACGAGTGGCTGGCTTGTTGCTGATAATCGTGGATACAGGGTCTTCCTCATTGAGCTGATTGTGAGCGGAGTTCTGTACGTTTTGATGACCTCCACAAAAGGGGATGGATGCCGGGATTTCTGACCATGGACCGTTGATGTGATAGCACTCTCTTCTTCCTCTTTTATTTCAACCGGCTGTTTGCGACCCTCGTATCCTATGCCATCCGCGCCTATACCTGGCATTACTACCGAGTCTACATAGACATACATGCGCTCCAAATATCATTGCTGGCAGGCCGAATATTTTTCAAAGGGATACGATATCATGGCGAAAACGAGACCATTCACGTCCAAACTGGCTATCTTACCTGGAGGTTCTGGTCTAGGCCAGAGCTGCCGGTGGATACATGCCATGTGAAGAGCAAGCCCAAGCCTCCGGAATGCGAGGCAGCAGCAGCGGGCGCAAGCGGCGAGGGCGAAAACGGAGGTAACCATGCAGCAAATGGAAAAGAGACACCCGCTAGAATCGAAATCACCCTCAATGGTCTAGAGTGGTTTGTGTATAACCGGAGTCCTGCCTATGATTCGATTCTCGCTGGGTTTGGATTGGTGCCGCCTCCTGATGGGGCAAGCGCCTCGTCGGTAGCTGACAATGGAGAGAATGCGCAACATGAGCACTCAGGCCCCAAGGAAGAGAATGTCGACGAAGTGGCCGCTTCAAGCCCTTCCGACCCCTTAACTCCCTCTTCTAGAAAAGAAATAAATTCCCAAAAACGGCGGACTTCATCAAGCACCAGAGACTCTTCTATACCTCAGCATAGGGAGATGTCCACTGGGCCTCGGATCTTTTCGTTTTTCCCAATATCCATGAATTGTTACAAGGGCGCATTGGCTTTGGGTAACGAGAACACAAAAACCATACTCACCTTGACGTTTGACAAGGCCGTCGGAAAAATCGATGCTGAACGCTCTGGCCCCCTCGATATTTACAAACAAATATTTGAATATGACCTCTCCCACCCTGTCATACATATGAAACCTAATCCGGACTACAGACAATCGCAGTTGGCCGCAGTTCATGAAATGGAAACCCCAGAAGAAGAGGAGTCTAGAAACCGCGGATACGTGCACAGCTTACATAGACGGTATCGCGATCATAGGCACCGAGTGTGGGCCAGCGTTCGCGATTTGATCCCCTACTTTCAACGATCTGTCGAATCATTCCATCCCAGGCATGATGAAAGAGACAGACCTGTTTCTAGAGCGGTCCATCAAGATGGCTGGCTGGGCCTAACGCGCTATCTTGACGAGGAAGAGCAAGATGATTATGAAGGATGGAACTCAATAGAGTATGGTCGTTTCTCAACGCTACTAGACTCTCCCAGTATGTATTTTCGGTATTACTGGGACATTGGGGGCCCTGTTGCAATATCGAGTGCAAAACCCGATTCCCCGGATAGGTTGACTCCCCATAACATCAACGGTGCAGAGGCCCCTGAATGGGGAATGGACTTAACCATACGTGGCGGTCTGCTTAACTACGGGCCATGGGCAGACCGTGAACGGATCAATCTCCAAAGTGTGTTTGTGCCAAATTCATACCGGGATTCACACATTACGCCTATGTTAAAGCCTGGAGAAACGAGACAGAGTGCAGCTTTCGTTTTGAATATCCTCATTGAAGAAACTACAATACTCCGCATACCCACAAGGGAGGCCTCGAAGGATTGGCAATGGAGAGGCCGGGCAGACCGTTCACGAGGAGCTTCTCGAATGAAGAAAAAGGACAAGGACCGCTCTCGCGGGAATGAAGCCGACAACCCAGGAACTCAAGGGCCAGATATTCGGCCTTTTGGCTGGCTATCTCTCAGAGCAGGGCCCGGCTCAACCATCGTGTATTCAATGGCAATGTTTGCGAGTAGACATGGGTATTGCAACAAAGTTGACATTGACCTGCGCCAAACCAAAATGACCACCAGCGTGAATCATGGTATGTTGTGGCAAAGTGATCGTCAGCTTATCTCCTGCGATCTCTCAAATCCTCTTCGGTGGAATAGCCTGCACAACTGGTCCGTTGATGTAGAGAGTACCAATATGGAACTGTTCTTACTATGGGACCACCTAATATTACTTACCGACCTCATCTCGGACTGGACATCGGGACCTTTCCAGGAATATTATACCTTCGTTCCGATTAAATATCAGCTTTCCTTTGCCTTTCTTGATTTCAAACTCATGGTAAACGTGAATGATTTGAATATTATAAATAATCCCTCCGACTTCGATGATAATTCGTTCTTGATTATCGAAGGAGAAATATTAACCGCTCGCGTGGAGATCCCAGTTATTCATCACAGAGCTAGCCGTAATATCGCTACATTTGATATTCAAGGCTCAAATGGCGACTTAAAACTCTCTACGCCCCTATGGAATACCCAGCGTACATTCTTGGACGATCGACCTGTTGGCGGGTTGGACACCCTAAAAATTGACGGAAGTTATACATGGCACAGTATAACTTCACCAAAGGTGACAGACGTTGCAATTATTAACTTATCTGGTACTGCACCATATCTGTACCTTTACGGATTTATCCTGAAGCAATTCCTTGATGTCAATGAAAACTACTTTGGTAGAACTATTCATTTCAAGACATTCGATGAACATAGAGCTGCAGCCAATTCGACAGCGACCCAGGGTATTTATGGCTCCAACCCTGCACCGCATACCAATGGGCTTGATGTTATTCTTCACATTGCAGCCGAGGATATCAAAGTTCTCCTTCCCACTGGTCTATACGACCGACATGAGAGCCTTGCATTAAAAGCAACAAGTCTAGAGTTGGATGTAAGATTCACAAACTATTACATGGATTTCCACTGCTCGTTATCTCCCCTAGAAGTTTCTGTTCTGTCGGAGAAGCCAGGCACCTCAGCTGTCCGGTCTGGTCCTCAGCTCTATATAAATGGGCTTGGCATTTTTGGCCATAGACTTTTTGGGCTACCACCAACTGAGCCTACATATGCCTGCAACTGGGATTTTCAAGTGGGATCTATCGTGGGAGAATGTTCTCCTTCATTCATAAAATCTGCTAAATCGGCGTTTGAATCTCTAGCTTTCTCATTCGACGATGATGAGAATGCCTTGCCTCCCATACAAACCGGTGTTTATGATGTTACTTTCCTGCGCGCAAATGTGAAATCTATCAAAGTGTGGATCTTAGCAGAAAAGTCTGCGTTTCTTTTCAGTACCGGGACAATTGACGTGGAGTTTAATGACAGATGTGGCTTGAAAATGTCATTATTTGTCGATGTGACTGTCCCCGACATTGTTCTGGCAGTTGTCGATCGGACGTCAGTAACCCCAGGAAGTGCATCTCAAACGCCAGCCAAAACTTATGCCTGCTTCCGTACTGCGGTTAAGCTTAGCACACTGGGGAAAAGAGAAGACTTTGATTATTATCGCTCTCTGCAACAAAACCATATCAGGAAACATGACTCGCGGACCCACCGTACTCCATGGCTTGTGTTTAAAGAACTTGAATTGGCCTCTGGAGAGAATTTATATCCCTCTTTTATTCCTCCTACAATGCCTGTCCCTTCAATGCCCGAACCTATTCAATCTCCGGCAGACTCTAAAGCTACCCAGGAACCACATCACTCTCCTCTGAACGAAGTTCCTGATGCGACAACTATTCCCCTAACTTCTAGTTTAAATCCTACCCCGGACCAATATGTTTCCCAAGGCCGCCGTGCTGGACATTGCTCTACAACATGGGCAATGC